AAAAGACTGTTCTATTTCTCACCAAATTAGTCGCCTGACTCGACATTTACGATTTCTTAAAGACGAGATAAATCATAAACGCATTGACCAACAATTGACTGATCCAATTCTTATTTCTCACATCAATGATTTCAAATTAAAACATGAATCAACTGTTTGTTCTACATTACCCACTGCCTTCTGGCATCGGAAAAAACATGTAGTTACTTTACCTTATATTAAGGATTTTAATGAACGGCAAATCCCTACTAAATCTCGACCTATTCAAATGAATCATGAATTACTTGAAATGTGTAAAAAAGAGATTAATGAATTACTACAAAATCGAATCATTAGTCATAGTAAATCACCTTGGTCTTGTTCTGCTTTTTATGTTAACAAGAATGCTGAATTAGAACGAGGTGTCCCTCGATTGATTATTAATTATAAACCTTTGAATGATGTTCTAGAATGGATTAGGTATCCTATTCCTAATAAAAAAGATTTAATTAAACGACTTAGTCAAGCTGTTATTTTCAGTAAATTCGATTTAAAAAGTGGTTTTTGGCAAATTCAAATTCATCCGAAAGATAGGTATAAAACTGCATTTAATACACCCTTTGGTCAATATGAATGGAATGTCATGCCATTTGGTTTAAAAAATGCTCATAGTAAATTTCAACATATCATGAATGACATATTTAACCCATTTAGTCATTTTTCAATTGTTTACATTGATGACATCTTAATTTTTTCAAAATCAATTAGTGAACATTGGAAGCATTTAACTGCATTCTTTTACACCATTAAAAGTCATGGTCTCGTCATTTCTGCTCCTAAAATTAAATTATTTCAAACAAAAGTCAGGTTTTTAGGATATGATATTCATCATAATACTATCCTACCCATTAGTCGATCCATTGAATTTGCATCAAAATTCTCTGATGAAATCCTTGATAAAACTCAATTACAAAGGTTCTTAGGTTCCCTCAATTATATTGCTGAATTTTATAAAGACCTTCGGAAAACTTGTCAACCTCTATTTGATAGGTTAAAGGATAATCCTCCTCCTTGGTCTTCTGTTCATACTTCTATTGTCCAACAAGTCAAACAATATGTCAAATCCCTTCCTTGTCTTGGTATTCCCACTGAAAATTCGTTCAAAATTATTCAAACTGATGCCTCCGATATTGGTTATGGTGGCATTCTACTTCAGCAACTTACTCCTCAATCATCTGAACAAATTGTTCGCTATCATTCTGGTGTCTGGACTAAAGTACAATTCAATTATAGTACTATTAAAAAAGAAATTTTATCAACTGTTTTATGTATTCAAAAATTTCAAGATGATATTTTAAATCAAAAATTCTTACTTCGTGTTGATTGCAAATCTGCTAAATATGTTCTTGAAAAAGATGTTCAAAATCTTGCTAGTAAACAAATTTTTGCCCGTTGGCAAGCTATTTTAAGTATTTTTGATTTTGATATTACCTATATACCTGGTTGTCAAAATTCCCTACCTGATTTTCTTACCCGAGAATTTTTACAGGGGGGTAAGGGATGACTACACCATTTACTGCTTACCATAAATCCCGAATCACTTATTTCAAAACCCTCATTAAACAACTTACTCATCGCATTCACCGCCTCAAATTAGCTCGACCAACTACCAAACGAGCCCAATACATCAATTACCAACAGATTCAAGCTCGCCGCAATTTACTTGCTCACAACTACAATTGTTTACATCATCATCAAGATTATTTAAATCTTCTTTCTGGTTGCTAATCACTGTTTATTATTTCACAGATGTCTCGTCCAAGGCCTCATTCCAAGGCTTTGGTCTCATCCTCCAGTAAACCTAATCAACTTATTGTCCCTCCTCCTTTGGAGTCAGTCACCCCTTCTTATTCACTCGACATGATTAACCGTTACCAAACCCTTGGTACTATTCATCGTCCTGATTATTCATCTGCATTGGCTTCTGATCCTTTTGTATCTAGCCAATCAGTTTCAGTAACTCCATTCCCAGTCAACTCTGTTAAAACATCTAGATCTGAATACACCAATTCACATATTACCAACCTGTTCTATAAAGAACCCAGTCACCCAAGAAATCAAACCATTAATGACATTGCTAAATTCCATTTTGGCTCTGGATGCCATTTCACCCTTTCTCATCCAGAAAAAACCCTCTCTTATTACAAAGATATTCTAATCAACCACCATTCCATTTTAATCAAGCCAATCCAGGATCGCACTTATGCTTATAAGGTCCTATACCATTCCATTTATATTCACAACATTGTTTCTATGGCTGAATGGGGAAACCCTAACCAGCTTCATGATTTACCTGGTCATTTTATTCAATATAATTATCATGATTACGTTGATGCCTGGTTCAAGATTTTCTTGTACCAAAATGAAACTTTTAGTCATTCTTGGTTCATTTTATTTGATCAAAAATTCAAATCTGAATTACCTACCTGGTTTCTGAGATGGTGGACTCACTATGGCGCCATTTCCGACATCCTCCCTGATGATCTCAGTAACATAATTCATTATTTTGCCTCTGTTTACCCATTTTCTACTCACCAACGGCAGTTTCCATTATTACTTATATTTATTGCCAAATACAAAATTCCATGGATATTCAAATGGCACTATGGGATTGATGATAACATTATCATCCGCCAACACACAGTCAAATGGTGGGTCAAATACAATGTTCCCAGAATTCTGGAAATTGTTCAAGAAGAATTCCCACCTGATCAATGTGCTCCAACTCCTGCTCTTGTTAAAGCCCAGCAGAACCCAACTGCTGCAGTCACTCAAGGAAGCCAGCCCAGTCTTTCCCCAGTCAACCTTGGAAGCCCCTCATCCAGTGGCTCCAAGCCCAAATCATCCAAATCCAAGTCCAGAGTTGTTGCTGCTCAACCAGCCCAATCAAAACCTACGTCCAAAATCAAATCAAAGGTGAAGTCCATTCTACCTCCTGTTCAACCCAAAAGCAAGTCCACAGGTAAAACCCAATCATCCAAAGAAGACATGATCCAGTTAGCTCATCAACTTTTGAATCAAGCTAACGCCCAATCCACTAGTTCCGAAGATGGTTCAGATCAGATCCATTCCTCTGAAGAATCAACTAACCAGTATTCAGAACCCGAGTTCCAAGATGCTCAAGATCCATTTGTCTGATCAACATTGGATTCCATATAGATACAAATTAGCTTCAATCAATACTCTTTTGAGAAAAGCTGCCAATTTGTATTTATATTGATTCCATTATTCACATGTTCCACCGAAAGTGATGAATAGTAAAAAGTTTGCTGTTCACTTTTACTGTTCACTGTCACTATTCACCCAGTCAACTTTTGTTTAAAGCTGCTCAACTATTCAATCAATCAACCGAAAGCAACCGACAGCATCTGCTTTTCTTCATGCGCTGACAGCTGCTTTCTTCAGTCAATTATTGTTTTCTTTTCTTTATGTTGTATATATTGTAATGAAGTTGTATTCATTCGGCAGACTTAGAGAAAAATCTGTAATCTAAGATCTCTGAGTGAAAACCAACACCCTTATGCTGTAACCATTCAAGATCCTTGCAGTTCATGTAATTGTAAGTTATGTGTACTATTTTAATTATATATGTTTTAAATTAAATATGATTTTAGATATTATGTTATGTGCATTCCAATTCTGTTCCCAGTACTTGTTCTTCATTCTTGCTGTCTATATATATATATATTTTGAGGAATCCCAAACTTTAAAAAAAAAATTTCACTGCTTCCATGGTAACTGCATAGCTGTTTTTGTAATTATGTTACTCCCATCTTAAATTGTTCGTCCATTTTCAACATTTATGTCCTTTAATAGAGTCAATAAACAATTTGTTTCCCACAAATTAAAATACCTCAATTATTTCTTGTGAATAAAGTCTTCAAAATCATTGAAAAAAGAATTAATTAAAAAATATAAATGATTTTTGAATGAATGAAATAATAAAAATGAACAAATAATTTGGGATGGAGAGAGTATTTTGTGATGAGAAATGCTAAGAATGGAGAACGATCCATAGAGATGGCTCGGATTAAACCCAATAATGGTAAGGTTCACATTCAATGCATTTCATGTGATCCATTCTATGGTTGGATTAAAACTAGTTATGATAAGATCCACATTCAATATAAATCTCTATTAATATATTTCGTGTAATCCATTTTGCATTTCTATTATGTATTCTTGTCAATACTATAGTATTAGAGCAATTTAGTTATCTCAAATGATTTATTAAATATTCTACCATATGATTATTTGATAAAATTTTGATAATTTCTTTGTGATTTCTAGCATTTTTGTTATTGTTATTGTGATTCAAAGCAGGATGGACCAATGGCAGTGGTCAAAATTCAAAACTTAAAAGCTATTCTGTTATTATGTTAAAGTCGTTTATGCATTAAGGTTCTTAAGTAGTTGTTGGGACCATATGAAGATTTTGGATGATTACCATTTTATCCATAGAGTCCTACCACTGAAATTGGTCCCTATAAGGTCAAAATTAGTCATATTATACATACCCAACCTTAATTAGAAGAGAGAGAGAGAGAGAGTGGCTGCCAGTCAGTGCACTTTAATTTGTACAGGGTTCCCTCTCTCTTTTAACCAATAGCTTTTTGCTTTGGTCATAATGACACTTGTCCTCCACCACCATGGCTGACCAGCTTAAATTCACCAGGATTTGAGTCATCCCCCCTCCTTCCCCACAGCACAGCCACAATTAACAGATCCCAGACAACATGAAAAAATTTCATCTCTGTAAGTGCATTTTGTTTCTCATCCCTCTTATCTTACTTGAAGTTCCACTGTTAATTAGTAGTACTTTCATTGATCTCCTATTCCATTATATGCTTTCTCTACTTCAGATTTCTTTCATTTTATCTGCCACCCATCTGTCTCTGATTTTTTTTTTTACTTAGATTAATCTCAGGCTAGTTAACAAGTACACACAAGAATACAATATCTGCACACAAAAATCACTGTCACATTCTCCACTCCAATCAATACATGTTACATAACATTAAAATATGTGTGAAAGAAAAAATAAATAAAACTTATTCTATACCCTCTACACCTCCCCCAAAAAACCAAAAAAAAAAAAAAAAACAAAAGGAGTTCAATTCAACTTGTTGATCCTCCTTTCTTCTTCTAGACCCCATCTTCACGGGGGTGATATAGGCGAGGAGCCGATGTGTAATTACAATCTCGATGAGTAGGAAACACACTGCAGGTTCTGTACAAAATGATAAATCAAGAACAAAAACTTGATTGGGAAAAGGAATACCCATATCCGAATCCCACAATTTCAAGAATAAAATGGAATGACACACTTCAAAAGGCACACTGAAATTAATGTGTATTAAGGGCTGGTAACTCTAAGGAGAACGCATAACTTTCTGTTAGATCTGTCAGGTATTACCAGAATGCACCGTAACATTCTAGATTGAAACGCAGATCTTGAAAGGCCTCTTTGTAAAAAAATCAGGTCGAAATGACTGCGATCCAAAGGGAAGTGAACTAGGGGAGGAAAGGAAAACGCTTTGTATGCCAAAAACTTTTGGTAAGTAGTTATAGTGGCTGAGTAAACCCTGCAAACCTCTTTATGAGAGATGGATCGGTAAGGTTTGTCATAGACTCTGGAGGAGGGCCCTTTTGCAGAGTGGAGGTTGTGATGTATTGTTGTTTGGATTACAGGATGGGGACTCCATTCCAAGTGTTTTCAGTAGGAATTGCCTCTCCTGAACAATGCATCAAAATATATGTAGTCAGTAAACACAAACTGACATAAAGATGTATTAAGTTAACAACATAAATTGGGAAAGGCTAGTATAATTCACATATTGAAGAACTATTTCACCAATTAACGTGTTAAGAAATAAAAAAGTAGTGGGGTTGGAATATGGGGGGGAAGTGATGGTTAAATGTGAACATCTAACAATTCTCTGTGAAATCTTCACCATTTAGTAGCAGCCTAGTCAGAACACAAGCCAGACAGCATGCAGGACATTGCTGAAATAATTGACCATATTTAAATCATGAGATCAAAAGTTACGCTTTTGTTCTTTTTTTACTTATTTGAGCTATGTTTTGTTAAGCATGGTAAGTTTAGCCAGGTTAATAACACGAAAGTTAAACAAACATGTTGAGCTAACCGCTGATGGAGAAAGCAAAATAACACGTGTTTAAAAATAAAGGATGAATAAATTACATCACTTTTCAGAATTTTTAGAGTAGACAGATGTTTCAATATAACCTGCATGTTTTTCTCTGATTGCATTAAACATTCAAAGCAAGAACTACCACCAAAACCAGAATCGGCATTCAACAAACATGCACTTACACACGCTCACGCACGAGCGCCATGAAAGAAGCAAGAAGAAAAAGAAACAAGGAGAAAGCAATGGATTCATAAAAATAAAATAAAATAAATTTCAAGGTTTGTGTCACCTTACAACTGGAGTAGACAGTTGGAATTCAGTTGATATCATTCAAATGATATTGAGTTCTGATCATGACCACATCTATTTAGAATATGAGAAAAACTATTGGCTAGGACATATATAGAAGTGTCATTCGGTTTTTCTATGATTTATAATTTTTCTTGTATATGTCCAACATGTATCACCACCAATTCTGCATGGCCCGTGTATACATATTCTAATAACTAAGAGAGACATAATATCCACCGTAGAAACTAATTGTATCTTAGATAGTATTTTTCACCAAGAAAACTTTAACTGTACATTATAAAGTCTAGAAATTTTATAAGCAGAAGTTCGTTTCACTTTATGATATTTATTTCAGCCACCAGTTCATCACCACCACCTAAGTATTCCCTGAAAATCACCTAGAACTCTGGCAGTACAATGCTGCACTGCAACAAGAACAATTCAATCTGAATCACCTCAACAAGTGTTTGTTCCAATTAATTGGGGTAGACTACATTGATCCCTTTTCTCCAGTTGGCTATATTAAAAAAAATGGCAATTGATCACCAGTCTAAGTCGATTCTGCTAAATGGAGAGTTAAACTATTGATTAATATTCAAAAAGAACCTACTTAGTTAGCTTAGATTAACTCCTGACTTAGCAGAAGCAACTTTTCTGTTATACAGTACAGATTATAAGACTTGCAAATCTCTGCAGCAATGTTGGCAAGTCAGACTTTTGATAAAAGTTCTTATTTGAGTTCTGTGACATTACTCTTAGAACAGTATTTTATTAGTTGGCATCATGCTACAAACATAGCGCTTACTCATCTTGGAAGCTTTTCAAAAAAAAAAAAAATTTACTTTTCATTTTTTTCTTTTTCTAGTTTAGTACTTTTATGCAGTTAACTTTCTTAATATTGATACAAAGGTCATATTCATCTCCCTCTTCTTTTTTTCTTTTGGTCAAATTTGTATTTCTAATCCATCCCATTGGCAAGGAATAAAATTATTGTTGTGGGCTAGAATTTGCAAGATAATTAAAGTTTATGATAACTAGAAATGGATTATACCATTTAAGTTCAGGGATTCTCGCTGTATCTTTGTGTGTGTGTGTGTGTTTGTGTCTGTGGTTTGGTGATGCAAGCTTTCTGCTACTGCTACGATGCTACCATAGGCTTAAGAATTGGCAGATTATAAGATGATGACTTACACTTTCTGAAAATTTTGGACTCGGAATCCCTGCGGCTAAGGATCTGAAAATTGGGGTTACTTGAAGAGGAGAACTGAACTCGGTATTTGAAAATGCAGGGATGATTCCATCATGGTCTTTAGGGATGACTCCATCATTGTCTTTTTGATCATTGCAAGATGGTAACATATCTGCAGCAATAAGACAAAAAATGTCAGCAGATATATACATCTGTAGGATTTTATCAATGACACGATAAGAAAATATCTAACAGTCTACACTATAAAAACAATGTTACCTTCAGTAGTGGTTGCACCAGAGAGAATACCATTTTCACAATCACCGATACCATTTTGCTCTCCTATACGGGTTGATTGTGACTCCGCGATACTGTCTTGATGTAGTGCACATAGCTCATCTTGACTTTGTTCTGTTTTATCACCTGCTGTCTGGGAGAGGAGTGTTGATCCTGTACTGTACTCAGAACTCCCTGGAGACTCTTCATATAGATCAGGTTGCCTACAGTAACAATCAGCAATGTTTATATTACGATTAAAAACTGCTTGAATCTTAATATTAGCATGGTTATGTTTGTTACCTCCAAGATTGTCGACTGCCCTCATTATTATTCCTCAAGTCCTCTATCAAGTCTCTAAAATTTTCAAGTTGAAAATCTATATCAGAGATTTTGATACCGAGCATATCATTCCCTTTGGTTTGATTGAGAAAATCTTGGAGAACCTGAGTATGATATTTGGTTTATATTAGACAATAAGCAAAATCTAGGGGTGACACATGATTTACTATTTTTGCAATTTAAACAAGACCCTGTGGCAATAGACATTTCACACCCAAACTTTTGGCACACGTCTGTAGGGATTGACAACATTAGTTCAACCTTTCTTGAAATATGGTGCAATGACAAACAAAAGATAAAGCCAAAATCAACCTTACTAAATAACTGTTTCTGTTATTATAAATAATAAAATAAGTAGCAATTAAAAGAAATGCATTGGTTTGGTTCCTCGCAATCATTTAGGCATTAAACTGACATTGACTGTCTTTCAAGTGAATCACGAGAGGTTTGCTGGCAATGTACTATCCTCGACCCAAAGAGCTGCCACAAGCCTTCTAGGAAATCTTCCTAAATTATAGAACAAGTGGTGTGTTGTTGAGCCTTGTGATTTGAATCTAGCCTCTCGGGTTGTGAGACTTCTCCTTGGTAGGCTAGGTTTATTTATTTATTTATTACTACAGAGTTTGTAGCCTCTTAGCTTGTATTCATGTGACCCTTTGGGCTCACTTACCCCCCAAAAAAGAAGATCATCCTCGGACAAGAACAATTATGTGTTGATAGCAGAAGCAAGTTAACCCAACTATTCCTCACCTTCCATGCATTTTCAAGACTTTGGTGCGTATTCTCCGAATTAACTTTGACTGCAAGTGAGCTGAGAAGTTCTGCTTGTTGCATCAATGCAAATATCTTTGGATCGTCTTTTTTGAGAAATGTTCCTTGAATCTTGTTATTACTAGCTGCTTCTGGAAAAAAAGGAAGCCAAACATTATTACATCATTTTAATCACGGATAATAAATAATTATCAAAGACGCATGTTTTTAAAACATGAAAATAACAAGCATTTGCTGGCTAAAATAAATGCTGCATTGATGTGTATATTTTCTGCAATGTACAATGTAGTTCATTTACCAAAAAATTGAGTGACTCACCATCCTTGGACATCTCCTTGGTGTTGTTGACATGATTTTGAGTGGGCAGGTTTCCCACATTGTGGAAGTTTTGCACCAGTACTGCAAATGGAGGTCTCAGCTGCTGATTTGCTGTTGTTTGACATTCCCTGGGTAATCTTTCTCCATGGTTGTAGTTTTCCATGAGATCAGAGATATCGGTCCTCCTACATCACAACAATTGAGAGTTACTTCTGTAACATTGATATTCACTTTTAATTCAACACATGCTCATCAATTGTACCTCATCTTCTTCATAGGTGTTGCAGTTTCTGATATTCCAGCTGTATTAAACCCATTTCGAAAGATAACCCTTTTGTTGTTTGGATTGATGTATGAAGTGTTATTATTCTCTTTCACTAAGGCTTCATGTTTTGCCCTCTTCTTACACAGTGTGGAAAATCGGTTCTTCACAGCATTATCAGTTCTGTATGCATAGATGAAGAAATTAATTTGTAATTACCATAAACTTTTCCACTGCCAAGCAAGAAACAAAACATTACAACTTTATATACCTCCCCGAGACCACTTTGGCTATTTCAGTCCATCTGTTACCAAATACTTTTTGAGCCTGCAGTGGATCTTAAGATATCAGATTCCCACAGACAATAATGGAGAAATAATTATCTAATTTTGAAATACACTTGGTATTATCTGTTGGACCATTGGAGACAACAAAACAAATTAACTCAAAGCAAATTAAAGGAAATTAATGATTGAACAAAGATAGTGTTACATATATAGTTCAAAAGAAAATATATCAATTATAGTGCTAGAAAGGCAAAACTAACTTGTCAGTACTGATATATCGCGACTTTTGAGTTTAGAAAGCATCAATTTTACCTCACATAAGAGCAAGTCTTCCTCTGGAGACCACCCCCCTTTCTTGAAATCAGAATTCAAATAAGTGTACCATCTGCAAGGGTATGTTACATCAACATCAGGGTTAGACTAAAAAACAGAAAGTTAAAGAATTATTGGAAAGACAAAGGAGATCATAAATTTTTAAAAAAATCATTTTTTTATAGAATAATTAACCTTCTTCTACATTGCCTGGTTGATTTATCCTTGAATTTTGATGCAATGATTGCCCAACTACACATGTAAAACACAACAAAACCCATCAATTTCATTCATCAAACAACCTTGATTTCATATTTTCATTGCATCCAAACAAAAAAAAACCCAAAATTGGGCATACTTTTCAGTTCCATGGGTTCGAATTTGGTTGCGAAGTATATCATCCTCCTGCAATTGAATTAAACCCATATTAGATATTAGCCAAAGACACTGAAAACAGTTGAAACAGAGAAGAAAGAGAGACCTCTTGAGACCACGAAACGATGTGACGCTCTTTGGGCTTTGGAAGTTGATCAGTATTGTTCTTCTTCATAGTCTTGTGCATTGCTTCTTGGCTCTATCTTCAACCAAGTAGCCAACTCTTCCACCGAGTTCAGGCATGCTAAAGCGAAAGAGTCTTTTATAAAAATGCTATAGCAAAAAGACCTCTTTTTTCTTTTATTTTTTTCTTTTTCTCTTTACGGATATACTATTTGATTCAAAACAGAACAACAAAGGCAATAATTCTTTTCACCGCAACGAAATCACATTGGATTCGAACTTTTTTTTATTAAAAAAAAAAAACACTCAGACTTTGATTGATCTAAAGCATCCAGAGAATCCAAATTAGGATTCAAACAAAACACAACAAATACGGAACACAACAATCAATTTTGATGATCGTTCAAAAGTTCTCGAGATTCGAGAAAGCGAGAGCGTGTTCTTCGTATGTATGTATATATAGAGAATCGGAAAAACGTAGATCTGATCTGAGAGTTTGAGTGAGCTTACGAAGTGGTGTTTCTTCACAAAGATGGAGGAGGAGGGTTGAATGATTGAAAAATGGATATAGAGATGGGGATGATGAGAAAGTTGAATTGATTTGATTATTCATTCCATTTTCTCACTCTCTCTCTCTCTCTCTCTCTAGAAAGGCAATCTCTCTCTCTCTAAAAAGAAAAAGAAAGGCTAGAAAAATGTATGCAACAACAACGGAACCTTAGCTTTTGGGCGCGGGGGTATGATCATGAATGGGGAGTTTGAAAAATAACGCTGAAATCCACGAGAGAAGAGTTATAATCCCACCACCACCACAGACAATGCGCATGTACATATTATCGTAAAGAATAATGCTTGGGACTTCTTTTTGGGTCATCTCCTCACCCTTTTTTGTCACGTGACGGGTGGTGATTGGAGGAGCAGGAAAAAAAAGAAAAAGAAAATGTAACCAATGAAAGAGAGAGGGGGTCAAAGGAGTGAGGGAAAAAGGGGGATGAATCATTGTTGTTATCATAAATTACTTTTTTTTTTTTTTAAACAAAAAACAAAAAAGACAGTTCTTGAGGTATCATAGTATTCGTAGACTTTTATTTTGAGATATTTTGTTGACCATCAGTTTTAACCTAACTTATAGAAAGGAATTCACTATTACTAGAATACTCGATTGACAATCAGATTTAATTTATAAGAAGAGATTCACTATCGGCATAACAATTGATTTCACTCACCCTCCACAATAAGAGGCGGAGTCACGATCATAATATATCACATTTATCTTGTGAAATTTGTACTCTTAAGATTCGCGCGCTACTTTTCTATGTGAAAGGCTGGTACATTATCCACGCTACAACCACCGCCGGTGGTTGCATAAATTACACTTACTTATTAGATTTTGAATTTTGAATTCATGTTTTTTATTTTTAGTGATTTTTCTTAAAAATTTTGATTAATTTTTATTTTTATTTTAAATAAATTTAATCTAGATGTACTTAAAAATTAAAATTTGTAAAGAAATTTTTAAAAAATTCAATAAATTATATAAAAAAAAATAAATAGAAAAATGTACTGAATTTTTGTATTTATTAATTTTTTAAAGAGTTTATTTACAAATATTTTAATTTTTGAGTATACTTAGATTAGATGCATTTAAATAATAAAAAATAAATTTGAGCAAAATATTAAAAAATTAACTAAAAAAATGAAAATCTAATTTTGAAAAGTGAATAACCAAACAAAGTGAATAAATTTTACAGTTTTAACATAATTATATTAAAATTGTTTAAAATTTTCATTCATATAACATTTTGTTTCATATCCAATTTATAAGTAATATAAATAAAAAAAAATATTATTATTATCACTTTTAAATAAAAATGTATACTCAACGTTATTTGTTTTTGTATTTTAGTACCATGCATTAGTTTAGGTGATTTTATGAAAAAGAAAATAAATATAACAATATCAAAATTATAAAATTTATTATACTTTTTTTAAATCTCAAACAACAGAGATTTTAATTTATCCAATATAACATTGCATGTGTGTGATCGTTTTTGGGTGTTTTGAAATATAGAAAGTAGTAGTAAGTGGTAAATACTGTTTTAAAAACAAGACATGACAATGTTCGTGACCCAACCTCCTCCTCCACACAGCCCTCCTCACACACAGATAGATACTACTGGAAATGAATATGAATAATTGAATAATAATTAAAACAAATTTTGAAAATAAATAATATGAATTCGGTTTTGTTTATTTCTCAACTCTCGTGCATGAGCGTGACCACTACAAATGAATTTACTTTTTCACGCGCATTTGAAATTTTGGACACTTGTGTGTTTTTGTCCACCAACACAGACAGGCTATTAGGGGTGTAAGGAAATCAATCCAAATTTCATTTTTTTTTCAAATTTTGATTTATTGTTAGATTTTTGTAATTAGTAATTTAATTAGACAAAATACATTTTAATTGTAATTCTATTTGTTCTTTTATTTTAGTGAGACTGTGAGTGTTTAAATGCGAATCCAATCCGAATTATGTTTGTGTAGAGGAGTTTGCACTAACATTCCCTATCTTGAGCATTCGTTATTTGTCATTTCATTGATTATGTACGAGAATCGAGCTGCCCAATCAGCTCGTGCAGGATCTAGGAGGCAGCATCTCTTGGCTAGTTTGGAGCAATGCCAAAGCAGGGTCGAGGAACAACGCCTCCAAAGCCAAAAAAGTTAAAGTGAATTGATTGCTTAAGCGGCCTTGTGTGCACTCGAGTAGTGAAGTGAATCATCCAGTATCTTTGCTTGCAAATTGAACTTCTGAGAAATGTGTTTCATCGTTCAGAAGGTGAATGTTACACTCGAGCTATTGGCCTATATGTTTGCATTGCCATTTACTTACACCGCTCGAGTGGTAAAGTGTGTGCTCGAACGGTCTTCACAGCTTTGTTTAGTATAAAGTACGCTGTTTGTGATTTTTAGGGTTTAACCCATTCAGATTCTAAGAGAGGATTAAGAATACAAAGTATTATATATTGGAGAGTGTTTTTATATAAGTTTCTTTGATGTATAAAAGGTGATCGATTGATTAACGAACTACATATTGATAAATATCAAAGGTTAATTTTGTTCGTTTATTCACAAACAAAAAAAGAGAGAGAGAGAGAGGTGTTCATCGGTAGATTTCGAGGAATTTGAGCCTGAAACTGTGAATGCCAGAGTGACTCATCATTGTATATTTGACATCGGCGTTGTGGATTCAACGTTGGGAAAAGCAATTCCAAGATGAAGACGGTGGTGGAAAAGACACATCGGGTTTGATTCAATTCGCGTGTAAATTTACTAGGTAATTGATGGTATTCGTGTGTAATTCGTTTTTGTTTTCTTAGTAAATTGTTTTGTGGTTTTACCCCGTGATTTTTTTTCTCACAATTGAAGGTGTTTCAATTGTGATTTTTTTCACGTTAAATTGTTGTGCCAATTTATCATTAATTGTTTGATTGTGATTGATATTTACTGTTTTAAATTGAAATATAATCACGAATCAATATCTCGAGATTTTTTAGATTTTTCAAAATTTTCATAAAATATTGTATTTTTTGTTTTAAAAGTTTTTCAGCATTGATAATATGTCTTTTATTAGAGAGTGTTAATTTCTCAACCAACACAATTAAAAAGTTTAATTTGTTGCTAAACTTTCTTCACATCTCAACTTAATCCAACTGTTTACACTCCTATTTGCTATCATTGGGGAGTGATCAGATGGTCATGTACTTTGGGTACAATGCCTTTTTGGTGTGTACACATTGGTTTTGACTTTTTGTGGAAGCCGAATAATAGAGGACTCAGATAGGCCAAGTACACATTTACAAAATCCGGGTATATATTATATTTGCTCGTCTCTTGCGTTCTAGGTGCCGAGTATCTTAATCAGCCATAAAGTCGATTGAGCGAAAGGCCGAATAGAAGTTGGAATACAACAATAGAAGGCCGAATAAACAATCACACGAGGGATTAAGAGTGAGCTATATCCTGAGGACCAGAGGCATATATAAATAGAGGAAGAGCAACCAAAAAGAGGTATGTGAGAACTAGCACGCTTAACTTAAGATACAAGTAACCAAGAGAGTATACACTGACTTATCCGTCGGAGTGCTAATTCCAGCACCCCGACTGGAGCGTTCATTCCTTTTCAGGTTACTAGCTGAGGATCTTGAGCATCTCATTGGATCAAAAGAGTATTTCCAAACCACTTTCCCCACAATTGGCGCCGTCTGTGGGAATACTCCAGTACATCCATGGCTGGCATGACGGAAGATCCTCTGGCAGTCGCTGACAACCTTACGCCACGAGTCTATACAACTCCAAGCACCATGTTGGGACCAAAAAACATTACTACATGAAGAGCCCTGAAGTTCGACTCAGCTGATGAAACAATGCAAGCGATTATGGAACAGGCGAAGCGAAACGAACAAAGGTTAGAGAACATGATGGCTGAAAACAAGCGTCTTCGACAGGATTTGGCCTTGGAGGTGGCAAAATCCCAACAGGCCATATGCCAAGACCTGGCACAACCACTGAGAAAGGATGTTCGACGACCTCGAGCTCGGAGAGAAGGTAGTGACAGTGATTCTGACTCCTCATCCCCAGACCCCAAAAAGAAGGGATGAGTCGAGGTCTTTAGTTCTTCTGAGGAAAGTCCACGTGCACGGAATAAGAGAAGAAGAAATGATTCAGACGAAGAAGACCAGCATGACCCCGTTATGCGACGAATCGCAATGGTAATACTACCCAAAAAGTTCAAGGCTTCATTGTTCACCCTATACGACAGAAAATCGGATCCCACTGACCACATCCGTCATTATAAGCAAGCCATGACGCTGCATGCAGACGACGATGCTCTCATGTGCCGAATATTTCCGAGCAGTTTGGGACCATTGGCCGTCAGATGGTATTACAAGTTGGAAGCGGCGTCGATTAAGAGCTTCCATCAATTACAGAAATCCTTCAGGGCAAGATTCATTACCAATAAGGTCCAACCGAAGCAAGTCGACTCTCTCTGGGCAATGCAAATCCAATCAGGGAAAACCTTACAAGCTTATTCAGCGCGCTATTAGGAATGCTTTAATCTTATGGATGACGCCTGCAATGACACCATGGCCATTACCGCCTTTAAAATGGGGTTGCATCCTGATAGTGCCCTCCGCAGTTCCTTGACTAGAAGGCCCCCCAAAACAGTCTGGTCGTTGATGAAGAAAGTCGAGGAATACTGCAAAGTAGAAGATAACACTCTACATGTTAAAGCCGGGAACAAAGCCAACAAGACGGCCCCTTCTGAGATTGTTCAGTCAATAAATTTTGTATCATCACGAAGCCCTGAACCACGGAATTGGGCTAAACGAGACAAGAGACGGGATTCACGCCGAACAAATGACCAATGCTCCCACCGTGCTAATGAACAACTTCAAGTAGATAGCAGGCGCACAAGGCCTGCGGACAAGAAATATACGGAGTTGTTAGAGCCGACCAGCACGGTTATGTCTAGGGTCCAACACCCTCCGTTCTTCAAATGGCCATCCAAAATGGTGGGACCTCTCGACACGAGGAGACGGGATAGGCGGTGCGAGTATCACAAAGATCACGGCCATGATACCGAGAGTTGTTATGCATTGAAGGACCACCTTGAGAAATTGGTACAAGATGGTCGGCTTAAGCAGTACGTCCGAAAAGACAACTAAACCAAAGCAGTAGCTTTACGGCAGGATTCACCTCCACTCGGTGTAATCCATATGATATACAGCCTA